GATGGAGGTTCATGGCGGTCCAAATCCATGTTGTTGTGGGTCAAAACCGGGGACCCTGGTCGCCCACCCAAACTGAAATTTGATCCAATAGGATCCCATAGGGCGATCAAGCTTAGGGCTTTGTTTCTTTGACCCACGGCCGCTCCTTCTATCAAGTCAGCGTCCAACGACGTGGACTGGTGGACTCACGTGGCACTTCCGGGCTTCCGCGCTTCCGGTCGTCGTCCGGTCGACCGGCTTCGGGTCGTCGACCGGTCGTCGTCCGGTCGTCGTCCGGCGGAAGATGGACAACACCATCCCTGTGTTTCATCGTTTGGCTGTCTCCCAAAGACAAAGACAAGGAGTGTCGGGTTAGTTTGCGGTTGCGCAGGAAAAGACATCTATTACTTGTACCAGGCACCAAAAACACACCGGGGGGTCTTGGACTTCGTGTAGCAGAAGAAGGCCGTTCATCGCTTGGACGTTACCGTGCCTCAGGACTCTAGCTGCTTTGAAGGCTCGAAACATAGGCCGTACACCCAGCGTCGGTCCATTTGGAAAACCCACCGAACGTTGGCCATGGCGCGAACTGCCGGCCTCTTGATCCTGTTGGGCATCCTGTGCCTCCCACGCGAGCTGAGCTTCCTTTTCGCCGGGCGCGGGCGCCCGCTGCACATCGGGCGCCCCCATTGGGTGCTGCGTGCGAAAGGGGAGCAGTCCGAAGAGCTGGTGATTGGGATGGCCTGTTCAGCGACCGTCACGAATTTGAAGAAAGCCGGGGCCGACTTGGATCTGCCTGGAAAGAAACCGGGCTGGATCCATATCGGCCAACTGCAGGAGGGCTACACTGAGAAGGTGGAGGATGTCTTGAGTGTTGGGAGGCAGATCGAGGTCAGGGTCATGAAGGTGAAAGAAGATCAGGTGGAGGTGAGTGAGTTGCGAAGAAAACAAACATATATAATATCATATAATGTTGGATCCTGATTAGTAAAGGGGGGTCCCCCCCCCCCTCAAACAAACAGGGAGACCTCTATAATAAACTATCACCAAAACAAATCTGGATTCCTGGTGAGGGATCTTTTGTAATTGATTGTAGTATTCATTTTCCTTTCATAGATTGTATTCAGCTTCCTTTCTCCGGTGCTTTGTAATTGTTCGCAGCAATCCTTTTGCTTTGCAGCCTCAGATCTTCAGCTCAAGAGAAGCCCCAAGCTTTCATTGGTCTCAGGAGCGAAGTAAAGGGAGATTCCATGTGCATTTTTTCCAGTGGAAAAA